AAAAAAAAAAAAAAAAGAAAGAAACAATACAGTATCTTGCTATACAAAATAACAAGAATTCAACAATGGTTGTGATATTGCATAGTGTCTTAAAAATAGTTGTTCAGATTACCAGATATAGCATACAAATTGGTTAAAAATAAAAAATGGTCAAAAAATTAAAAAGAAAAAAAAACCCTTAAAATTTAAGCATTAACTGTTACCATCAATAAACTAGTAGAAATCAGCAGTACAATAATCCAATCTGCGTATATACATATATATTTTTCCCTTCTCTCTTTTCTCCTTTCCCTCATCCCAGTTGTTTCTTCCATTCAAACAATTTGTTTCCCTTTCACAGTGTCTATAGTACCTTTTGGATTTTATTTACTCTTTCAGGCTCTTATACAACAAACAGTACAATGTTTACAATGTGAGTCTGATTTATTTGACTTATGAATATGGTCTCTGGTTGCATCCATTTACCTATAAAAGCCTCAAGTTTATCATTTTATAGCAAAGTAGACACTAAATTTGTGGCAATTGTTATACAACGAAAGAAAACTAATGAATACAAAAGAAGACAACACTTAATATTCTACCAATATGGAGACTGGTTCATAAAGATGACTGAACCAATCACCTAATTTTATTTTGAAAATAAGTGACGGAAATGACAATGGCATCTTGCAATCTCATTTATATGTCAGTTTTCTTCCCATAGAACTGTAAGCCTCACAACGATGAGTGTTTCTGATAGATTTTTTTTTTTTACCCTTGTTAGTCAAGAAAATGTGTAATTGAAAGCAAAATTATTGTGGTTCTTGAAAGTGCTCAATGTACAGAGTTTATCAATTCTCACATCAGTTCTTCAGTATGGTGAAAATATTTCTCAAGGTAATATCAAATGTTAAATTGGAAATATTCCAAGACAGTCTTGACTCCAAGGCTAATCTTCATCACTAAAATTACAATATTCTGAATAGTCAAGAGCAGGAAATGTGATGGGTAACTCAACCCACTTTTTGTATTGCTTCTTTGGTGAATTATCTTTGAAAACTAGTACAAAATTCTTTATTTTGAGACAAGGAAGATCTAAGCCTCTGTGCACCATCATTGTTCCCCAAGCCTGGAAAACAAAACAGAGAGTGAGATTAAGTTAGATATACATTCACTTAAACAATCCTTTCTGTCAAAGGAAAGTCAAGCCTGTTGCAATCTACTCACTTGGCCGCATTTGCAGATAATCTCGCCATTTGTTTGGTAGTCAGCAAATTTACTTTGCAGGGCTTTGTTTTCTCTCACAATATAAAGTCGCCTAAAATTATAGGGGAGAGTCACTAGGAAGAACAGCAGAGCACCCACGTGCAGCCCTGGGTCTGGGTCAGACCTGGGCTCACGGCCCCCCAGAGCCCCACCCTGTTGCTTCTCTCCCCCTTGCTTCCCATGGTCTCGGTGGAAATTGAAATGGCCATCCTCTTTGTACACGCCCTGTCACATCCTGTGTTGGCTCTGTGAATTTTTAAAAATATATTGGCTATTCTGAATTGATTTGGGTTATTCAAAAATTTGAGAACAAAAAAAAACCTCGCACAAATTCTGTGGGTCACAACTGGTTTGACTAGTACATCTCTCTCTCTTCCTGCTCTGAGCACATTATTTCAAAAATAAACAAATAAAATAGGGAAACAGAAAAAAGTTATGTTTATACGCCCAACTAGTCTGGTTTTTAATCTTACATGTGATATTATTATATTATTATTATTATTATTATTATTTTAAATGCATTTGGTACAAGGTCTCACTATGTAGCTCGGACTGGTAGTGTTCCTCCTGTTTTCAGCCTCTCCAGTGCTGGCATTACAGTCGTGAGCCACCATACTGGGACTTGGTGGCCAGCTCAGTGCGCCCAGGGGCGGGACTGGTGCGGCACGTGATGCTGGGGATTGAGCCCTGGTCCCTGTGCTTGCCTAAGCAGGTGCTTAGTCTGCTGAGCTATCTTGATGGCCCTGATAATTATTTTATAAGGTCTTATGAGATAAATGAATGATTTTAATGCTGACAAAATAAGAGGGGTGAAGAGAAGGGGGAAAAAGAATCGAAATATATTATATACCTGTAACAGTTCTCTAACATGAATGTAATTGTTATGTACTGCAAACATGAGCTAATAAAAGTAAAAAAAAAAGTACACATCAAATAAAATAAAAAGAAAACAATAAAAATTTAATGGGCATGTAATTGGGGAGGGTCTAAAAGGGGAAGTTCTCAACAGAAATCTCATTTTCACAATTCTGGAAGAATATGGTGGTTCACCGCTAGTAGGAAAATTTAAAAGGGTCTTTGTGGACTCACTTGAAGGCTTTTGTCATGTTAACATGATGCATATTCTCAATTACATGAATGTCTGCCCCGGAGCAGGCTGGCATGTGACAGTTTTTACAGAGAAAAGTTATTGATGACGGATTGTTCTTGAACTGCTTTACAGTATTTCTCTTGATTTTCATTTTCTTTTCCATTATGCTTTGCATCTGTAATTCCAAAATCTGCATAGAGAAGGGAATATTTAATGTTTTTGTTTTATTTCATAATTCTATTGAAATAGCTCTCCTGGAATTATTGCAGATATCTTAAATAGTTGCAAGACTATACACTTAGCTACTCGTCCTCAGAATAAACATAAGGAGGCAATGATCCAAGAGAAATCTGTAATTATCGTAAGTCCAAATAAAATGCAAAAATGTGTGAGACTTATTGGGTTAAAGGCAGAGAAAATGTTTAAGAACTTCAACTTGCTCCTAGAAGTCTGATTTGGTGTTAAGAAGATTTTGGTTATCTAAAATAAGTTTTACCTTATGTGATAACTCTTACCGTTTATCAGTGGTCACATGAACATTGTGTTTTACAAAATTCTCAGATTAGAAGCACAGAGCCACTCTCCTAGTGGCTGTGACTTGGCAGTGATTTTTGCTAGTCTTTCAGCAGAGTAGTGGTGACACATGCCCCACTTCACTGTCATGCTTATCTAACTAGTGCAATCTCAGGACAGGAAATCTCTTAACCAAAGGAGAACTAAAAAGGTAGTCTATTTTGGATTCCTTGAAAGGACTGAATCTATTATGATTTGAATATAGATTGTTCTCTCAAATTTGTTCAAATGTATAATTCTCAAAGTCTTTTATCTATCTATCTATCTATCTATCTATCTATCTATCTATCTATCTATTATGTATCTGGTACAGTTTGTCACTATGTAGCTGGGACTGTTTTCCAGTGATCTTCCTGTTTTCAGTCTCCCCAGCACTGGGATTATAGGCCTGCACCACCATGCCTGAACTTTGTTGCTGGCTCAGTGTGTCTGGGGGCAGTACCAGTGCCACATGTGGTGTGGGGATTGAACCCTGGTCCCTGCACTTGCCTAAGTAGGTGCTTAGTTCACTGAGCTATTTCTCCAGCCCTTCAAAGTTAATAGTATTAAGAATGTGAAACTTAATTTGGGTGGGGTGTTTAGAAATGGACCTCAAATGGGACCTCTGGAAAGTAATTCCAGGAGTTTAGATTATCAATATGAAGCCCTCATGAGTGAATTCTGATGGGTTAATAAAGCAACCACACAGATACAGACATATCCATGTACTTCTCTAATGCAATCTAGCTTGTGAGAACCCTCACCATGACCTTTCCATGCTATTTCCATACCCACATAATCGTGCGAAAATAAACCTTTTTTCTTTATAAAGTAGCCTACCTCAGGTATATTATTATAGTAATGAAAAGCTGATTAATGCAGTATTTTATTCTAAAAATTGTCTGGGACAATTTAACTCAGCAATTCCAGAGATTTCCTGGAGTTTACTTGAAATAACTAGTCTTTAAATATCAGCCTTAATAAACACCTACTGAATTTATTCCCCTAAGACATTACATGTGAGACAGAAACTTCCTAGTGGCATTATTTAATGAAATAAGTTTGATACGCCAACATGTTTGGCTTACTTTACATTTAAAGGGGTTTTAAAATATAAATTTGTGTAGAAACCTGGCCAGGAAACCTTGGAATTGGTTAAAGCTTTGCACACCAATTTGAAAGCAGCCCTTTCCTGAGACTCTATTTAGGGCAGAGCCAATTCCAATGTTAAGAAACTAACATTCACACCCATATGCAAGGGTGTGAATTTTCTTCTAAATGGATTGTTTGCTATTATAGTAGTTAGTCTTTAATTCAGACATATAAAGGATTTCCTGAAATGTTGTATAATACATTCTTTCAGTATTCCTTTACACAATTCAAACAAGTTTATAATTCTGTTAGTAAATTGAGATGCAGCTAGATGACACATTGAAATCATTCAGATCCAACCTCAGTGTTACTTGCTCTCAGGCCCCTTCCTCAACCACACAATCAAAATAGCCATTTGGTGACTTATTTTATATAATTATATCGTCGTTCGTATCTTTATATGATGTACATGTTTGCTCTTCACCAAAGCTCATGAAGTACACACTGATAGTTAAGGGTCTTATCTGTGTTGTTTGTTTCAATGTCCTCTGAATCTAGAACATTCCCTGGCACACGGTAGGCATTTTATAGATATTTCTGGAACAAGAGCAAAGGTGCTTATATGACAGATAAAACTGAGCAGAAATTACTGAACTAGGTTGAATGGGTAAGTTGAACTAGTCTTTTTGGATCAAGGAAAGCCTAAATTTACATTACCAAAGCTTATAATTTGTTTCACTGAAATAATTAAAGGCTTCCTGACAATTTATTGCACCTTATAACTCTTTGTGTGTGAATATGTACTAAACACAACCCATCAAAATGAAACTTATATTTCAGTATAATTTATGAGTGAAGGAATAGCCACAGACATACCAATGATAAAAACATAGCAATCATTTCAAAATGAAAACTAAATTAAGAGGTGGCTCAGAACAATACCTTCTGAGTATACTCCTCTGGGTTCATATTCTGAACACGATGGATAGCTTTATACATCATCTTCTCTCGAAAATCATTAACAGTCTCACGTTCAACAACTCCAGAACCACTGTGGGCAACCAGGACATAGGTACTCTCTTCAGCTCTGGCTCGACCTCGGGCCTGACAGTATGAAAAAATTCAAACACATGAAAGGCTGTGCCTTGCTAACTTTTCTGCTTCAGGCTTGACCTGATACCCATTCTTCAACCTTAAAAGTGGGCTGTAATATAGAAAGAATGTTCTAGAGCAGTGACAGTGTCCACCCTGATGTTCAAAGTCCTTTACCACACAACGCTACCCTGTCTAGCTTTTCTGTTCCCAGAGAAATCCTGTCAAACCATGGGAACCATGAGCAGTGATTGGGGGTGGACACCCTGCCATTGGGAAGGAGGGATGCAAGGGGAGAATGGGTGTTCTTGATCTTTGCCTCCAGGCTGGTGAGAAGGTATGTGTGTTCCTGGCATCATTCTACATCAGATTTTGAGCCCCTCCTTCCCATGGACCAAGCTGGGTTGAGAGATGAGTTTTTACAGTCTTTAAAAAGTGATGTTGAAGTATATTTTGCATATTACAAGCTTTTCTGACCTGGCTCGGGAGCTTAAGTGTCTGCTGTAATATTCTCACAGAATAATGCATTCTGAATGACAAACCTCTGATTTACAAATCAGCTCTTGAAATAAAATTACTTCCCAATTTGATGGTTACCTGGCTATCATAGTCTTCTATGGTGTGCCTTCCAGTCAAGGATGCAGGTTTTACTAACAAGTTAATGTTACTGGAAGAATGTCAGGACTCTTAATCCGCATAACTCCTATTTGTACCCATCAAATGTAACCACGATATTATCAATATAGGTAGATGAGATATAATGTAAAATTTGAATGAAAACTTGGATATCTTGCTCTCTTACTTATTTACTCCACCTATAAGTCTGTCCCACTCAATATTTCATCATGAAAAATTTCAAACATGTAGAAAAGTTGAAAGAATAAATAAAAGAATACAAAAATAGCAGGGCTTCCTCAGGAGGTGTTACTGTGTAAGACATCTGTGGGCAGTGTGGTTAAGGTTCCTGGTCCCACTAGGGGCTCACAGCATCCCAGGAATGAGGAGGCCTCTTCTGACTTTTACAATAGGACCACTAGCATGGTCCTCAAATATCTCAGGATGCAGAAATAGCAAGAGAAGAATTTTTATTTAAAATTATACATGTACAGCTTTCATATGGATTAAAAACAGCAATATAAGTGGCAGTACTGCACACTGCTTTAAGCTCGTGCTTTTAAGCTGAGTATGCCTGTAACTCCTGGTACATGCCTATTATTCGAGCACTATGAGAGGTGGAGGCAGATAGCAAGTTCAAGGCCACCCTGGGCAGTGTGATGAGATACTGTCTTGAAATGAAAAGGGCTGTGGATGCAGCTGAGGTAGCTGGCTGAGCAGGCTCTCAGTTCAATTCTCAGGGGTACCTAAAAAAAGATAACTTGTGCTACTTTACTAACATAAAGCAATTAACATAGGTGCACAAAAATAAAACTCAACATGTTAAAAGAGAAGACCTCAATGTACCTGAACCATGGCTATTTCATTAGTGACAAGACTGTAACGGATAATAATATTACATTCCTTGATGTCCAGACCTTCTTCTGCCACTGTGGTAGCGATAAGCAGATTTATTTTTCCAGTGCGAAATTTACTAATGACTTCTTTTTGTTCATTCTGTGGAAACATTTTATTAAATTAAATTTTGTGATGCTAAACACACTCAAAGCTTCTAATTAGAAGAAATAATAAATTGCAACTGGTCAGTGTAAATCAAAAGATTAGATCATCCATGGATTTGCTGCCATCTGTTTTTGGCATTGAACAAAGACACGATGGTGAGACAACATTTGATTTACAATCTGGGATTACTACACAATAACAAAAATATTTCCATCCTCCAATCTGGAGGTGGAAGGAGCAACATTTATGCCAAGGGAATAAATTGATGGTGGTTTGGGAGGAAGAAAGGGTGAGGTACTTCTGGTTGAGGGGAAGTTGGGTCCTGAGAAGCTAAAACAGGGTGTTCTCTTCCTTACTTTAACTTCTGAACATTTAGAATTCTGAGATTCTGATGCAGTGATGCTTTGATAGGTTGTTAATTTTGAGTTACAGAGAAAATGATTCTGTATGCTGCATTCAGTTACATTAAGGATCATTCAGGCAAAAAGCTGTATGAACTATCACCAACAGACCACGTTGACAGGAGAGCTAGAGGGCGGAGAGCTATTTCATGCCTTATTTCTTATTAATGAATCAAGATGAATATATGACCTATTCAAAGGGCTACTATAAATAAAAATGGAAGAATAAATTGTTAAAGATACAACATGGCAAGTATTTTTAAATGAAATGAAATTTGAAAGTTAATACAAATATATGAAACTATGCCCTCTGGCCCTTGCATAGAATGAAAAGGAGGCATGTTCACATTGTCTTTTGTTTCTGTACATTAACTTGCCAGACCTACTGTGTGCTCTCCCATCCCCTTCTCTTTTTCCTTAGAGACATCAAGAATTTTTATTTCCTAACTACTGAAGAACCCTGTCAAGACTCCTCTACAGTCTGAGAATTTTCCCCTAAGACCTCATATCTACTGATACAAACTTAACACATTCTTGGACTTTGGCAGAACATGTCTGTGCCTTAATTCAATGGGACAACCTTTGTAATGAAGTTTCCAATACAATGTCTAATCTTACAGTCCCATCAGGTGGATCCTAACTCCTCCTCTAGTTTACAGGGTGAGGACACAGGAAGGGAGAAAGAGGGTGCGGTCTATTTTGGCATGTAGTTCTCAGGTGGGAAGTGAGTAAAGACAAAGTAGTTTAAAAAATAGCCTTTTCGGGGCTGGTGAGATGGCTCAGTGGTCTAGAGCACCTACTTGGAACAGGCTGGGCAAATCACAGGGACCGCGGTTCAATCCCCCCAGCACCACATGCCAGCCAGCCCCGCCCCCTGGTGGGCTGAGCTGGCCGCACACACACACACACACACATAAATAAAAAAAAAATAGCCTTTTCATTTGCACCTTACCTCTTTTCAAATAGGAGCTATCCTTGCTTATGATAAAAGTCATAACACTAAAGCTCGTAAATATAAGAGAAATGGAAAGATAGGACTCAATGTTAAGGAGTCTAGATGTATCACCGTGAGGATTACCACAGAGGTTAGGAGACTAGGCCTCAATTTTGCCTTCAAGCTTCTTGGAAGCAAGAGCTAACAGGGGCAAACAAATTAAGCCAACCAGGTCTCATCCATTAAGAGGAAACAAACTCATTATCCAAGGAAAACACTGTTTTCTCTGGCACTAAATTTTAGAAGGAACACTAGCATAAGTGCATGCCTGGGGTCCATTCAGAGTTATAGTGAACACTTTCATGAACTTTTTTTCTAAACACAAATGGATCAAACGGATTTACTTTGCTCTCCTGTTCTAAATGACATGGTTGTGACAGAAAAGAAGTATCCCGTTTGCCCAGCAAGACTCAGGGTCAGTATGACTTTAGCCTGTAGAAAAACATTGTCTTACTCTAATAAGCCAGTGACTGGACCATGCTTGTAATGCCTACAAGCGTCATTTTTTTCCTTTCAAGTTCTTTTTAAAAAAAACATTCACACAATCAGTAAGAAGTGGTATAGTGGAATACAAGTATATATGTGTATAATTCTAATTATAAAGCACATATTTTCATGAAAGTTTGATTCTTTTTATCTGATTTCATATCATGATCATTTCTCTACATTACTTTTAAGTTTAAGAGTTACTCATTTTTTGTGAAAGAAACAACATAGAAAGTTCCTCCAGAGCCGGAGAGATAGCTCAGCGGTCTAAGTGCCTGCCTGGTAAGCTCAAGAACCCAGGTTTGATACCTGGTACTGCATGCTACTCCACCACTCCGAGCTGGCCACCAAATCTGGGCATGGTGGGGCATGCCTGTAATCCCAGAGCTGGGGAGGCTGAGATAGGAGATTTACTATGAGTCTGAGCTGCATAGCAAGACCCTGTATCAAATACAAAGAAGAAAGGAAGAAAGAAAGATGGATAGAAAGAAAGGAAGGAAGTTCCTCCAAATACATGAAAAAAAATTGACTCCTAAGACAATGTTTAAAGTATCAAATACTACAGACTAGGCTGCTGCTAAACTTTATTTCAAGAGTAGGTGTTTATTCTTTAAATGTAGCTAATGAAAAAACTGAGAAAAACATTTCAAATAATTTTGTAAGAGTGAACTTAGCATAAGTAAAGAAGTGCGAGACATTCTACCTGCGTCATAGGCTTGAACTCACTGCTGTGTCCAGCTCCAATCAAGTGATGGGCTTTGACGCCCACCTCTGTAAATTTTTCATTTTCAGCAATCCACTGGGAAAGGGCGTATGCACTTTGTCGAGTTTTTGTAAATATTATTCCACGTGTTGGTTTTTCAGTCCTTGTATATTGTTCCAAAATAGTATTCCTTAATTTGGTCAGCTTTTCATTTTCATGCTCTGGGTTATCAGCCAGTTTTTTCAACATTTTTTTGTTATCTTTAAGAAAGAATTATAACTATTAATGGTAATTAGCTTTATGTAGCCATTTCACATGTTTTACATAATAAGTACATGCAATTTTTATTTTCAAATTAAGAGATCAGCAATTTTTGAAAAATTCATAAAAATTAGTATAAATTAGTAAAATTACAAATAATTCAACTGAAAGATTTTACGTAGTGACATATTGAGTTATGACTGTACTTGATTTTGTACTATAATTAATAACCAGGCTATTTTAACTAATAAATTAATTTGTCTTGATGACAAAACTAGATTATCAAATGTTTGATTATAATCATACAAATAATAATCTGAACACATCAATTACAAATAGCACTACCTAAAAGGACTTCTTTCAAAAGGAATTTTTTTAAGTAGGCTTTTGGAAACGCTTATGGGAAGCACAAGTAGGTTCATATTTAAGAGGTAAATACATGAGGCCACCCAATATATTATAATTTTTTTGTGTGTGTGGCCTGTTCAGCCCACCTTAGGGGCGGGGCTGGCACAGCATGTGGTGCCAGGAATCAAACCACAGTCCCTGCACTTGCCTAAGCTTACCTGAGCAGGCACTTTAGACCGCTGAGCTATCTTGCCACACCCCAATATGTTATCTTTGATCTTACCAAAAAATAAAGCCATGAGAAATTTATCGGTCTCATCTTGCCTCTCCAGCCTCTTCCCATCTTCCTTATCTCTATCACTATCACAGTCATCATCGCTATCATTCTCATCGCTGTCATCTTCCAGCGCTGCAAACTTCTTTGCTTTCTCATCACGATAGAAAGTTTCAAGGTGATTATATGCATCGATCATTCGGATTGTGTCATTAATTTGTAGGGCTTCATTATACTTCCTCAAGTGTTCTGCGCAGACGCGGACTTCTCGATTTCCTTCCCTAGCAGCTAGGAAAGAATACAATACATCAACCGGGCACGGCAGCGCATATCTGTAATCCCAGTACTTGTGAGGCTGAAGCAGGAGGATTGTTGCATGTTCGAGACAAGCTTGGGCTACAAAGTGAGCTCAAGGTCAACCTGAGCTCCATACA